GAGGGTGACCGTGCACCATGGTGCGTGCGGGCTGGGTGGACGGAGGGTGACCGTGCACTGTCTTGCAGCTTCCTCATCGTCCTGGCCTGCCTCATCTTCAGTGTCCTGTCCACCATCGAGCAGTATGTCGCACTGGCTACAGGGACCCTCTTCTGGATGGTATGTGTGACCCACCGGGGGCTACAGGGTGTGGGCGGGGGCTGCAGTTCGAGTCTCTCTCCTCCCGAGTCATGTCCAAAGGGCATGGAGACATTAAGGCCCAGCCTATCTCCATCCAGGGACAACCCCGCTGTCCTGTATCCCGGCTCTAGAGAGCTTCTAGGGGCTTCCTGTGGGAGGGCTTGGGCCAGGCTGGGTGCACTGGAGCCACCTGGGAGGGAGGTCTGCTGAGGCCCTGGGTGGCTGGCGTCCTGGGGGCCCTGAGCTGTGAGCTCTGTGAGGTGGGTCAGCAGCCTCCCTCCTGACTATGGGCCCAGACGCCCGTCCCGTCTCGGCAGCGCCGTTCTGGGTCAGGGTTCAGGACGCTGTGAGGTAGGAGTCCCACACTGTCCCTCCTGGGGGCTGGTGTCCCACCTCTGTCACAGGGTGTCTTCCTGGCTGGTCTGGGTCTGTGAGGACAGCTGTCCTGGAGGTGGCCCTCAAGCAGCATCAACCCCTGATGTCACACCTCGCCCCTGCCCCTAGCTTGCTGGGCCCCTTGCTCTGTCGGGGTTCCTTGTTCTGGGCTCGTGTGTAGACTGCCGCCTGGCCCCAGTAGCTGCACGGTTGCACACATTGCGTTTTCTGTCACTGTTTATGAGTTGGAGGTTTGTCAGTTCTGCGTCGAGCACATCTGTGGGTGCTGGTTTCTAGCGGCACCTGCTCATGTGTGACCCCAGGCCACCCCCCCTCGTGACCTGCAGCCTTCTTGGCGCTGCCGACCAAATGATGGACGAAGCAGCCCCCCCACTTGTATCTGGTGCGGGAAGCCAGGTGATCTGGTCCCTGTACCAGCTTTACCAGGGACCAACCCTTGGTCGTACCTCTAAGGTGGCCTGTGTCAGATACCCACCCAGTGGCCAAGCGAGGTTCTGCCATGTGGACAGACCTCTGGGTGGACACAGGCTCACTGCCCCCTTAGGCCTGGTGGATGGTCCTTCGTGATTGGGGTGCACCGTGTCTGTGTGCCAGGGACCTGGCTGTAGGAGGATGGGGTCATGTGGTGTCTCTGTGTCAAGTTTTTCCAAGTAGAGGGTGGGATTGGGGGACTCCTCTCCCCAGCCTCCTGCTGGGGGAAGGTGTGGGGCCCCACAGTGCATACCCAAGAGGATGGAGTTCAGTGACGTCCTGCTGGTTCACAGGAGCTTCTGGAGGGAGCCTCCCAGGGGACAGAAATGCACCCAGGCCTCTCTCCACACTGTGTTTGTGTGTGTGCGCCATGGAACATTCCAGCATTCTCAGGCGTGAGGGAGGGGTGGCTGCCAGACCTGTGATCCGTCTCCAGCCTCTGCAGCCGTCCCTGGCGGCCACTATATAAATCTCTCAAGTGGGATCCCCCTAAGTGGGCCCTTTACGCGACACTCATTCATTCTCTCCACCAGGGTGTCGGCAGGCAGCTTGCTCTGGGGGACACCATCCTGCCTATGTCCTGTCTCCTGGTGACCTTGACCGTCCTGGGTTAGTGGTTCAGTCTGTGGCCTCTGGTCACTACTTTTCTATAAGGACGCCTGTGTGATGGGTTTAGGGTCCCCCCTGCTCTGACGTGACCTCCTGTGACCTAACTAATATCACCCTCCAGAACTATTTCCAAACTGCGTCCCATCCTGAGGTCAGGCTGTCAGTGTGACCTGGAGGACACAGCTTAACAACAGCAGAAGGCCAGGGAAGGGTGGCCATCCTCCCTGGTGGCGAAGTCCTCCCTCCCCTCCTCTTTGACAGGGTACCCCATCTCAGGGGATACAGGAGTTCAGTCCATCACAACAATGTTGTTTCTCTCTGTCCAGCAGGAATCCAAAGCCCTGTCAAATGACTAAAAGTTATAGAGAACAAAATGTTTGCCATTTAACCATTTTTAAGTGCCTAGTTGTAAAACGGGACTGACATCTAGGTTGGGGAGAACTTAAGAAAAAAATGGGATAAATAAAGTATACTGTATTGAAACAGATGAGGGAGAGAACTGTTTAAAAGGAATATAGGATTAGGTATTATTTTCATGATAAGATTCCAGAAAAAGAAATGCATAGTAAAGTGGACTGTGGACTGGGGAGGGGGTGATGTTGTATAACAATGAAAGATTTTTTTTTTCTTTTCAAAGAGAAAAAGTAACTGGGGGCGGGGAGGAGAGGGCAGGGAGGGAAATGTGCAACAATGAATGAATGGGGGGAAATTAAATGGAAAGAATATGCTGTAAAAATATATATATATGTTGAAGGGAGCACTGGTGGCCTAGTGGCAAGAAGCTGCACTGTAATCCCAGAGGTATGACGTTCAAATCCACCAGATGCTCTGCTGGAGAAGGAGGGGCAATCTCCTGTACCAGTCAGATCCGATTTGATGATGTACACACACACACACACACACACACACACACACACACAAAATAAAAAAAATTATATATATGTTGCATTAAAAAATAGTTTTAAAAAAAGTGCCCAGTTCAGGAGCACTGCTGACCCTCTCCACGTGGTAAAACTTTCTCTTATACTTGCCCAGGTTTTCTCGCCGCCCCTCACAGCAGCTCTGGACCCCCCTCAGCCTCAGTTCCCTGTCCATCTCGGCGTCAGGTGGCCCTCGGAGCCAGTTCTTGATGAGCTGGGGGCTAGTCGTGGTGGTAACTAGTGGCCAACCATGGCAGCTCATGTCCAGTGTGATGATGTCTGGGGTCAGCCCATCTCACGGAGGTGCCCCCTGCTTTTACTGACCCCCTCTCTGCCGGCAGTGTCCTTTCCTAGGGATTGGTCTTTCTGATGATGTGTCTAAATCTTCGGACTCTTCTTCCTAGACTTTGTTAGGAAGCTCTCCTGAATTAGTCCACTGTGGTGACCTTGCTAGTATGTGGACCAGAGACGCCACCAGTTCCTGCCTCACAGCAACACACATGTCACTGGAGGACAGCAGACAGACAAGCAGCATGGAGGTGGGGTGTTTAGCTATGACGCCAAAACCCTGAAGACACAGGAGAGTGTGAACGAATCGGACTCCATCGATGTAAAAATTCATCCTGGATGTGAACCACGCGGGGAGGAGCCCTGCCTTCAGGAAGAGAAGGGATTCGGATGCAGCTTTCTGAGAAAGGTTTACTGCCAGGAACAGAGAAGGTGGAGAAACGAGGGTTGTCGAAGCGGAGGAAGACACGGGACAACACGGATGGACGCATTGGCTCTGCCGTGGACATGAGCATGGATGTGGTGAGGACCCCACGGACTAGGACGAGGTGCAGGGTCACGGTAAGTCTGACCTGACAGCACCTAACATCTTAGGTCAGCACTGTGAAAGCAGCTACGCAGCCAAGAAACCAGATGGTGTGCTCGGCTGGTCTGTGCCGAGGGTGAGCGAAGGGAGAAGGTGTGTGGGAAATCTGGGCCTTGTGCGCGCATGTGTATGTACCATCGAATCGGCTCTGACTGGCACAGAAGGAGATTGCCCCCTCTTCTCCAGCAGAGCATCTGGTGGATTTGAACCATGCGCCTTCGGGATTGCAGTGCAGCTTCCTGCCACGAGGCCAACAGAGCTCCCTAACTGGGAACCTTCTGGTGGTTGGGGGGGTGGTTCAGATGCTGGCCTTGGGCATTTTGTGGGTCGATTAGTTGGGAATGGACGCACACTGATGCTCCATGTATGGTCCCTGACCACGCTTCCGTCACCCCACTCCCAGCACCACGAGTACCAAGCCCATTGCCCTCCAGACCGAGACATCATCTTGCTTAGATGCCAGATGATCAAATGCAAACAGCTTGTCCGTCAGGAGCCTCCGTCCTGTCCACGCGGCCTCTCTCGTGCACCTTCTTGGTCACAGATGTTCATTTTTTGAGCGTGTTAGGTTGATAGAAAAAGTGCGCCGGAAGTTCCACCACTGTGGCTCCAACTTACGGTGACCCCACGCAGAAATCCGCAGGACTGCCAAGGGCTGATATTTCAGGAGTAGGTCACCAGCCTCTCATCTGAGGTGTCACTGGGGTTTCCTCTGTGCCCCTGCTCACAGCTGCTCCTGAGAGTGTCTTGAGTTGCTGTGATACATTTGTGTAGTGACGATCCAGTGTGGATACATTGTTACTCTCTAAGGGCCCTAGAGTTGAGTCTGAGTTCAAGCGGTCACAGGATGTCCTGGTTTTAGCCAATGATTATGGTGTCACATGCCCATCCTCATGCTGCCCACCCAAGGAGTGCCACCACTCACCTAGACCTTCCTGAGCCCCCACTTATCCTTTTCAGGCTTCCCAAACTCTTTGTGACCTCTGACCTCTTCACTGGCCCTCTCATTTTACTGGAGGGTCTAGGGATTATATTTTAACATTAAGAAAACAAACACTGGACCAATATGGGCTATCATAGTGGAGAAAAGATTGAAGTTGCCAATGATTTAGTTTTGCTTGTATTCACAGTAAAAAACCCGTAAGATGTGTTGCATTGGGGAAATCTGCTGTCAGGGACTTCTTCAAAGTACTAAAGAGCAAGGATATCCATTTAGAGACTGAGGTGCACCTGATCTAAGCCATGATCTTTTCAGTTGCTTCCTATGATCTGAAAGTTGGACAGTGAATAAGGAAGACCAAAGAATTGATGTGTTTAAGTGATGGAGGTGGTAGAGTGTTGAGGATTCTATGGGCTTCCAAAAGAACAAGAACAGAATTGATCCCGGAGTGTGTGCAGTCAGGATGCTCCTTATAGGAAAGGAGGATGAAACTTGGTGTCACATACTTTGGACATGTGAGGATGGGCCAGTCCTTGGAGAAAAGACATCCTGCTGGAAAGGTGGAGGGTCAGAGAACGAGGAAGACCCTCCGCACGGTGGACTGGCAGAGTGACTGTAAGAGTGGACGTGAGCGTGGCGATGAGGATGGCTCAGGACAGGGCAAAGTTCAGATCTGTTCACAGGGGCACCATGAGTTGGAGGTGACTCACCGCTTCCCCCTGCTGCCACCTAACTGCTGTGGAAGGAGCAAGGGCCACGTGGGGACGGC